TTAAAATTCGTTATATAAGTAGCATTTAAAAATCACGACCTAGTGATTTGAGAAATATGCTTTTTTTGTACAGGATAAGTTTTTACGTCGTTGAACACGACGTCACGATAAGGTGTTAATCACAGCGCATTAATCTTTTTCAGAACTGCCAACTAAAGGACATCGTTTAAAGTCTCTTTCTGGTCATCATACTCTAATGAAGTCGTATCGACGAGCGTGAAAGAAATCTTTGAGCGTCGCACGTCGATCAATGTTTAGGAGCAGAGTTCTGTCCAGGGAAGAGACCGTTTCTGTGACAAGCACATTGTAATAAATGTCGTGATTAGATGTATTTTATCTCCATATAAATAATAATGCAATAAAAAATGTTAACAAAATAGTTCAAAAAAATTCAAAAATTCAAAAAATTATATATTCTCATATATTTTCGAACAAGTTAAAATTGAGATTGTCTAATAAATGAATTTATTTGTGATGTAAAACAAAACTAATTTAAAAAAAAACTGAATAAAGATTCAAAATTTAGTTTATCTGATAAAGAATCATTGATATCATGTTATATTAATATCATGTATTATTAAGACAATATATATACATATACACGTACACATATACGTATATATGTACATGCATGTGTATATATATATATGTATATATGTATATTATTTAACTTTTAAAATATATGCACAATGAAGCACATTTTTGTAACAAATTAAAAATATATTTATCACGATACCTATTAGTAACTGTGTGCAAAGCAATTAGTTCTTATATATTAATTTTACTAAAAACAAAATTTTATCAATAATTTTAAGATCGTTTTTTTATTCCCCGACGGAGTAAAAGAATTGACAATAACGACTTTAGTTTTAGAGTTGATAGAAAATAGATAAAAGAGACTTGCAAAATTATTTTCTTTAAAAAAAGATTTTTATTTATTATTTTTAAATTATCTTTAGATTCTGACGTGATAGTAAAACATTGAGATCAATATATTTCGAATTTAGTGGACAAACTATTTTGGAAATCATTACACTCGTCTCTCAAAACAACTTCGAAAAAATATAAATTTTGTAAGTTTTGTGTATTGTTTTTTATGGCTGCTGTTGTCTTATTATTTCAATTAGCAAAGACTGAACTAACAACTGATCTGTAAAAGAAGAAAAGATGCAGAGATATATGTCAATTTTTTAGGAATGTACGATGCGCAATGTGAGAACACCTTAGTGCGAGCCGTTGATACACTCCGAAGAAATGTGTGTGTGTGTTCTTCTCTCTTTTTTTTTTTTAAATAATATTTATGGTAATTTACTGTAAATTTTGGGCACTTTGTGATATTTCACTTCACCCTCAGATCATTTACAATAATCAATAATTTATATTACACTCTTAAACGCTTCTCTGTCTCAACATTGAACAATATACATGTGTATGAGTGTAGATGTGTATATGTGCGCGCGCGCGCGGGATGAAAACATTTGTTACGTATATATGCGGACGACAGGTAGCAAGCAATGTGACAGGTGCCGTACACGTATACACGTAACACACACGTTCACGCGTAAAATTGTCTTTCTAAACGAACGATATATCACTAAATTACTGTATTATACAATTATCGCTAATTATCACCTAACTTGGCATCCTTGCGGGAGTGGTGCAGGCGGACACCCCGACGAGCTGTGATTCGTGGACTGAGGCAGCAATGGAATATCGTCCTCTTTGGAAGATTGCTTCTCTATGCTCGGCGGTTGCTCTTCTTGCTCGGATCTGGTCTCAACGGCGATGACGGTAGCGGCTGGCAAGCGGTCCGTTGCCACCGCCGCTGTTGCTGCTTCATGCTCGACGCCACTGATCGGTAACGAAGACGCCATCGAGTTCACCAACGTTACCGTCGTTGTCGTCGTCGCACTATTACCGTTATCACCACCATTACCACTTCTACCATCGTCGTCTATAGTACTCACGCTGCTCGCAACTACCGGATCTTTCAGTTCGTAGCCTTCCTGACAGCGCGTTAGTTTTAACCGAATTGGCGTCACTTTCGCCGAGCGAACGTTCCTGAGGGCGATCGCGCCAGCATTCGGATCCGTCGGTTGCTTCTCGTCGACATTGCCACCTGTCAGGTAATTCCCTGCCTCCTGTTTCGTGGGTTCAGATGATGGCGGTGGAGGCGGAGGCGGCGGACCTACCCGGTTGTTCTTTCCGTCCGACGATGCTTGCTGTTGTTGCTGATTGTCATTCTCGTCTCCGGTTGCGACGCTTGTTAAGGAATTGGCGCCGGCCGGTTTGGTAAGTCGAATGATAAGTTTCGGTGGGGCAGTGCCACCTTCTAAGATTTGCACTCGCGCCTCCTTCTTGCTAGATTGCCGTTTCTTCCGCTTGCCATTCTTGTCACGTTTGCTCTTCGTCTTTTCGTCGCTATCGAAATTCGCCATGATCATCTTCCGATATTTCATGCTATCGCGACGTAGCTCTTCCATGCTGGGTGTACTTGGGATACTGCTAAGTCGTTTCTTCGGAGGTCGTATCCTGCTGCGATCATCCTGTGCATTACCTATCTCCTGACCACCAATTATACTGCTGTTACCGATCTTGATCTTCAATTTCGGCGGTCCGGCGCTGTTCGTTACTGCAGTTGCAGTTGGTCTAGCTTGTCGACCTCTTCGACGATCGCTAATTGTGCCTACCATAAGACCGCGTTTCCTGTCGGAACTATTATCTTCCTCTCCAGCCGCTACGTCGAGAAAACCACCTCCGCCACGCTCTTTCCTTCGTTTTTTCTCCATGTTTGCGTCTACAACAGCCTTGTAGTCCTCGCGAGTGGGTATACTCGTCATCGAAGCTACAGCCTTAGGAATAGTAATAACTGTGCGATTTTGATTTATGGGTGGAATGACGATGGGCGTGGATGCTACGTTAGCGCATGTAGCGTCATCCATGTTCATGTCCTGTGAGCAATATTGGCGGAGTAATTCTTTCTTACGCATGCGACGTAGATTCGACGTACCCGAAGCGACGGATGCACATGTAGCAGTTGGTGGAATAATCGCTGGCGCTTGTTGCGCCAACGGTGGCACCGACGATGCGGGCACGTAGTTCGCGTCAAGAAACGGTCCCTTGATTTTCACCTTTAGCTGATTCCTCGAATCGGTCAGGGAAACTTTATTCGCATCCAAGCTTGACGCGGACGACGGATCCATTACTGATATGTCGCCAAACCTCGAACATGGTTTTCGATAAAAGCTCGTCATCTGTTCCGGCTCGGGACATACATGCTCAGTGGTCTTCTCAAACATGCTGTTGCAAGGCGGCGGAGGCATCTCCAGATCGATGTCGAGATCTTGCGAATTCGGGTCCGCAGACATGCCCGCAGCAAACGAGTCCAGCAGATGATTAGCGTAAGACTGACCATGGACTGATGAACTCGGCTGATCTACGGTTGAGTTATATGTGCGCATATCCACCGGTCCTGGCAACAACGGCATGACCGGCATATCAGTAAACGCCTGATGGCCGTCGCTCAATTCGCACTTGGCTAGAGCGGTCTCTGGATCGTGATGCGGCGACGAAATTTTCTTGTCGTCGGTATATTTTTTTGCACCGACAAATTCGTTGAATCTCTTCATTACTTGCAAAGTAGGACATCTAGACATTCCACCGTCGTTCACCGGCAGCGTGGCGAGCAGGTCGGCTGCTCGATTCTTTTCGTTCGCGTCGGTGGATTTTTTGCGCTCGCGCATTGTTCGCAAATCCGCGATGTTGGTCTCATTCGCGGATTCTTCATCTGAATCAAAATCGTACACCGTACCGACCAACTTGTTCTGAATCGAATCGTCGTTGTGAAGTACATTTGACATCGCTACCAGTGTGAGCGACGCGTTCTGCACGCTACGACCACGTCCACGACCGCGACCGCGACCGCGACTTCGGTAACACGAATGCTGAGATCCCTTAGCGTTTCTACTGCGACCGCGAGTGCTCGGAGCGGTTTTGGTGGTTTCTTGACGTGGCGACTTTCCAGGTGACTTGCCTTGCAACGAAGTCACCCGGGCGGACGTTCTCGTCGGTTTTGACGGTGATTTTTTACCGGACGGCGCACTTTTACTATCTGTACCGAGTAAATCCGGAATATTTTCCACAACAGTTTCACTACTGACCGGCGTTTCTGACGCGATAGCGTTCAGGAAGGACGGTGACACTGTAGACATATTACTCTGTTGTTGCAACAAAGATGGTGTATGTCCGGAAGATGGTGGCGCTTCTGTGGATGAGGGTTGTGATGATTGCTGTTGCTGTTGCTCCTGCTGCTGCTGCTGCTGCTGCTGTTGCGACGGCGGCGGTGGCGGCGGCGGTGGCGGAGGCAGAGGTGGCGGCGGCGGGGGTGGAGGTGGTGGCGGCGACGGTTGTGGTTGTTGTTGCTGTTGAGATATCGACGGAGGCGGTGGCGGCGTGGTCACTTTTGTTGGTGACACCATAGCTGCGGTGAGCGCCATATTGTGCGACGACGAAGTAAAAGCGGCCGTGCAAGATGACGCCTGCATATTCAGTGATTCTTCCAGCGGTTTCGGCACATGCGGCAATAACGACTGCGGCGGAAAAGCAGCACCAAAGTTTGCGGGGAACGGTGCTGGATAAGGTAATGGTGCGGGGCACGATTGTGGTGGGAACAACGATACCGCACCACTACCATAAGAACTGGTTTCCGAATATTGATGATAAGACGCATCTATAGTGCACGGCGGGTATGCCGTTGGAGGTACGTTCTTATAGGGCGGAATAGCCGCATGTTCCTCTGCAGACGACGCAGACGTAATGGATGAAGAAGTAGATCTACGCGAGGGTAACAAGTGGCTATCTGCCCATCGCGTGTCCGGACGTCCGTTGAGCTCGCTATAAGGAGAACCGCTCTGCGTGTAATCTTGTCTGATATCCGACGACACGTCTTCTTTATCCAATACACTATTCTGGTCATCCTCCGAGTTTGGCAAACCGATTAGATGGCGGTTAACCATTTCTATAGGTGTAATCTCATCGACGACCTGCGCTGGTATTCCGGCGTTGGCCGCTGCAGCCGCTACTTGCTGATCCATCATCGCGAGCGACTGCACACTCGGTTGCGCATGTTGTTTGACATGTTGAGTTTCCAGATGCTGCAAACGTTCCATCGCCGAATGCGTCTGCTGTTGCAGCTGCTGTAGATACTGTTCCTGCATGTTCATGTTGAGTTGCAGATGAGCGACCAAAGCTGCATCGGGATTCGGCACAGCATCTGGCATCACAGCGCTGATATCATTTGGAAACTGATGCGCACCTGCGGCGGCAGCGGCATAACGATGATTTTGGTTATCGATTAGTGTGTTCAGATGTTGTACATCGCTTGGATTGAAATTTTCTATGCTCGGTGGCACCCATCTCTCATCCGCTTCTGCCCGATCAAGTTTCGCGCGTTCCACAACTGTTACCTTCGTTGTCTCGCGCTCCTCGTTCCCATACATATAATGTTGCTGTTCACTATTGCTATTACTCGTGTAGCAAGGTTTCCTCTTATCTTCCATCGTATGAGGTTTGCACGTGAGATCTTCGGATACTTGCACGGGCTCCGAATTATTATTACTTTTCATCTCAACTGACTGTACGGGCGGTTGTTGCTTTTGCGATTGTTCTACTGGCTGTTGTTCCAAGACATTTACTTTCTCCGTAAGCAACGGTTGCTGCTGTTGCTGCTGCAGTTCTGTCGGTTTTTCAACTGGATGAAGAGATTGTTCCTCTTTCTTAAGAGATTCCTCTTCTACCGGAACAGACTCCAAATCATATTGACTAGAAATCGACTTCTTCGATAGTTCCATACGCAGTTTCTCAACCAAATTCATTGTCTCGCGCGCGCTGTCCTCTTTCGAGTCCTCTTTAAACCAGAGCTCGTTGTTGAAGGAAAATGTTAGCGGCGCAGCGCCGCGTTCTTCGTCGCGAGGTATGCTAAAGCCATCATCGTTAACCATATCATCAGTCAATATGTCATGATCGAAATCAAACAGTTCTGACACACTGGGATCTTTACTACCGTGCTGTGGCGAGAAAATGGAACACCGGTTAACGGATTTCCTTCTTTTATACGGGCACTCCGTCTCAGTTTCAACCAGTGCGCTCGCGACTTTATCAGACATCGACTTCGAGCAGACATTATCACTAGACTGTTTGCCAACAGTTTCCTTAGTCGCAATTGTTTCCACCGCAGCCAGTGTCTCGCTCTCGAGTTTTTTCTTTCTGTCTGTCACTTTTTCCATTACGATTCCAACATCTTTCTTTATGTCTTCTTTCTCCAATTTTGTAGTGTCTAACACTGCGACTTCTTCGGTCATATGATTTTTAACGTTCTCAGTCCTAACAGTCTCTTTTGCAATAGATTTCTCTGTCGTCAAGATCATATCTTTGTTTTCCTCGTTGCAAGATCTCTCTGCATTGACCTCTTGAGCGGCGGTCTTGTTTCTCGATAATTTGTCAAGATGCTCACGTTTCTCGAGAAGCTTATCTAGCCCTCTTGACGATTTCTTTGCACTATCTCGTTCTGCTCGTCGTTGCTTCATTTCCTCCTCCAGTGTATTAATTGCATTCTTACTGCTCGTTTTCTTAATTCTCTTATCGTCCGATTTGGAAGTATTTTCAGTTGTTTTCAAGGATTCCGAAACAGTTTTATTGCTGATAATATCATGCTTGTTGTCCTTTTCGGTTTCCTTACTCGCCTTCTCTGTCAATTTCTTTTCCATTTTCTTGGGCGGTAGAGTTTCCTTGTTACCTTTTTCGTCTTTAGTATCACTCGATTTTCGTTTACGAGTCTCCGACTTCGTTCTGGATGTTGCTCCGCCGCCGTCTTCTTTGCCTCTGAGAGCAGACTGCTGTTGTTGTGTTTGCTTAACGGATTGACCGGATTTTTTAGTAGATTTGGCCCCAAAGACACCTCGTATCCCATCATTATCTCGAGACCCACTGAACACACTTTGATCGGTTGATTGTTGTGATTGTAAAGATGTCGATCTTTTAGATGTGTCTCTCTGATCGGTCTTCTTACTAGGTGAATGCTGTTGTTGTTGTTGTTGTTGTTGTTGTTGTTGTTGTTGAGCTTGTTGTTGTGACTCTTTAATTGCTGAGGTTCTACTTGATTCTTCTCTCTCAGTAGGCGGCGGCTGAAACTCTGGTCCATGCCGCCCGTCGGAAGTTTTAAGCTTCTTATCGGGCAGCCTCTTGAGTTTCCGCCCCGCAAGAGTCTTCTTTTCAGACTCGACTGTCTCGTTTGTAATTCTGTTAATTATCTGCCGTCTGTTCGCAGCTTTATTTCTTCCGTGATTACCGGTGTCGCTCTCAGAAGACGTGTTGGTAGTAGTGGTACTGGAATTGGTGGTCGAGGAAGAAGTCTGTTCCTTGGCGGTGCTCGATACTTTTTGCGTTGGACTTTTGGCCACGTCGGAATCACTACTACTCTCCGAAGAGCTGCTGCAACTGCTGCTGCTGCTGCTGCTCTCACTATTGCTGCTCGGAGGAGATGACGCGCTCTTGCTACGCTCGGACGCCTGTTTCTTCCCTCGTCTGTCCTTCAACGGTGAATCTTCCTTCTTCTCCAACAGCTCTTCTTTCTTAGGCGATTCCTCTTTCTTGGTCTCCTTCTTTTTGTTACCATCCGGTAATTCCTTCTTTGGTTTCATGTCTGTTGTTTCCACATCTGTTGGAGCGGCTTTCGTGCCCATGCCGCTCTTAATGTGCTCTGCAGCTTTCTTTGCGGCCTGTCGTTGCGGCACGTAAGCAAGGATCTCCGTACCGTCGCCAAACTCTTTATCGAAATCATAAACGTCGTTATTTTTCGAGTCTTTTGCTACTTTATTATCACGTTGTTTCTTGCCAGATGGTTTCTCCTTGGTCGGTTTTAGAGACTCACTGGGTGACTTCACGAAATCCACAGTCTCGCTATCTTTTGTGATGTTTTCTTTCTTATTCTGCGTTCGCTGCATAATCTCGGATGCTTTCTTCGCCGCTTGTCGCTGCGGAACTATCAAAGCGGATGGTATGTAGTCTTTTTTCTTAATACTTTTTGATGTCTCTTTATTTTTCGTGGGTTCGTCCTGATAATCCTGTCTCGCAGCGTCCTTAGACGCAAAGTTCTTGTGAGTGTTTTTCGATTCTGAAAATTCTTTCACTGCGGCTTTTGTAATAAGTACAGAAGAGTGAGTCTGGTGCTCCTGTGAATCTGACTCTGTGTCTGAATAGATTGTGGATGCAGCTACGGATGGTCCGAGACGAGAGCTAGTATTGGTACTCAATGGCAACAATTCGTCACTTTCGCTACCTGAACTACCGAACTCCATGTGTTGTAAAACGCGTGATTTGCTGTTAACAGTATCCGTCTTATCGCTCTCGCTGCTGTTACGCAATTTGTCTCGCGATCTGTCTGACATACTGACCTTTTTCGTTTTCCGCCTAGTGGGGGTCTTTCTTTTTGATGTCGTGTTTTCTTCGTCTTCTGTACTCGATTCACTCTCAAGTTTCAAGGTTTTAGATTTATTCGCGGACTTGCTAGTAGTCGTCGTCTTGTTCGTCTTGTTCACTGGCTTTGTCGTATCTGTCTCAGTGCCACTCATAGACGACAATTCACTAACGTCTATAACCAGGCTCTTCTGTGTGACAGAGCCGTTGAAGTAAAGTTTCTTATTAGACGCACCATTAAAGTCCGGCTGCACCTTTTTCTCATCGCTTGATGTAGGAACGGGCAATTCGATGCCCGCGATTCGAGCAAGTATCGTTTCAAAATCATGCGTGTGATCCTTGGCATGAGAATGAGAGTAAACTCGATCGTATATCGATGGCCCGTGATTGGCTTCAATAATGGCGTTAACCACTGACGGCGATAGCGACGGTCCAGACAGTAGCGTTGACTGCTTGTGAAAGGTCTGCTCGCGCATTTTCAGATAAGTACGACTGAGTTTCTCGCGTCGGCAAACCATGTAGCAGAGATTTCTTACACGCTCGAGATCCTGACGCAGTTGAACAAAATTCCTCAACTTCTGCGATTCCGCCGCCTGCCCTTGCACTCGCGCACCCGCGCTCAACAACTCACCACAACGAGGTGCTAACAGCGGTTTATTGTGGCCGGCCTAAGGTACAAAACGCATATCGCGATAGTTATTCATTAGTCATTATAGTTTACATACTTGTCATAATTATCAACTTACTCTTCTCTTCAATTTCCAATAGTTATAAATATACGTAATGCCGTCATTGTCTATATCAAATTGATGCGAGTGGATGTCTTTTAAACTAACATGTCTGTCGAATTCCGCTTCGATTTCCTGCAATCTGATACGAGAATAATACATGTTACATCTCGCGTAATAGAATTTTTTTAAATTTAATTCCAATTACGCTTTTTCACGATATTTCAAGAATCAACGTCAAATATTTGTTCAGATGGATCTTTCAAAGATGAAATTTGTTACTTTTAATAGGTAAAATTTATGAAATCACATGAACCATTACATACTTAGCTGCGCGTGCTTGATTTTTCTCCTCTGATGTCATGTCTTTTCGTTTACGTCTTCTGGATTCACCATCCTCAGAATCCGACCCTCCCTTTCCGCCACCGCTACTTCCACCACTACTGCCAACACCGACTTTGTCTTTTGCTTTTTTACTGTGTTTTTGACAATACGACTAGAAATATGAAATTAGCCAGTTGACTCAAAATTCTATGAACAGATAATTTAAATAAACTTCCTACTTGTACAGAAGGTGATTACCCTTAATTTTACACCATCATCCGCCATTTCGTCTTCGATAATTGCTTTCATCTCTAGCCCATGTTTAAATGCACACGTAACGTGATACGCTGTTTTGCATGTTTTTATACTGCACTGAATGCACGCACCCACACGTTCACGGCATAAAACGCATATAAGAGCCCATCGGCTTTGCTGCAATTCATTAGTACATTCAGATCAAGTTCTACTTAAAACGATCATACTACAAAAAAAAAAAAAACTCGCAAAATTAATTCAAAATTTTACAAAATTTAAGTGCTATTTATTATTACATGTATATATGTATGCATGTGACAAAGCACGTGGATTTTAAGAATTCTAGGCATATGTTATATTATATATATATTATTTACCGGAATACTAGATATTTTTGTAATTGGTTCCATTCTCTCAACACAACCAATGCTAACTTCGGGAATCCAAAGTGCACACGATACATGAGCCCACTTTTGTCCGCTTCGTGTACACTTCATTGCACCACCCTTATTAGGACATAATACACAGTCTGGTCTTTGACTTAATGAACAAGTTCTACATAACCAAGAGCCTTCGGGTATCGAAGTAATGCCGTAACAAGCTTGATGTACGCAAATGTTGCAGCAATCGCAAAAGACCATCTCGTTACCTTCCTCAGAATCCGGCTGTTATAAATATTTTTTATGTAAAATCCGAATTCAAATTAATACGTCGCTATTCATAGATGAAAAAACCGTATAAACTTTTTTTTCACAAAAAAAAAACAACTCTGTGATTATAGATTTAAAAATTATACTCACTGATCTGCATACATCACAGATGACATTCTCATCATACTCAATTCCGAGTCCCTCTTCATTCTTCACGATTGTTTGTATCTTTTCCCAACATCGCACTTCCAACTCTTCAATCACTTGTTCTAACTGCGATTCCGTAACCAATGCTAGTCCAGCCTATGTAAATGTTTTTAAATAAAACATAAATATTAATACAATTGATTAAGTATTAAGATAAAAGTTATTATTTAATAATTATGTATTTGTAGTATTATATGTAATTGTATTTTTTAAAACCAACGGAAATTATTAACTAATCGAAATGCTTAATAAATACGACATATGTCATATACCTTTGCTCGTTCGCCGTTGAATATTTCTAACCAGGCAATGTCGTTATCGTCAAGATCATAAGCACAAGCTTTCTCCGCTCTTGCTGGTGTAGTACTTAAATGATGATCTTCCGCGTTAAAATAATCATCGCGAGATATTCTTATAAACTTTTTAGGCCTAAAAAACACGAAACAACGTCTAGTATTGTAAAACATTGTGTCATACTTACAATATTAGCGATCAGTATCACAACATAAAACAATACATGTTATATACTCACAATTTGAATTCAGTTTGTATCTTTAGAGGAACCGTCTGTGTTTCATTAACCATCGGTTCGGGAAGAGAATCTGGATTAACGGGTACTTGAACACCTCTTTCCCATTCCTGTTTCCATTGATCGGTTATAATAAAATATTCGTTTGGACTCAACGGTTCGCTGTCAGGCAATTTCATCGCGCTGATCAGATCTTTTCGAAATAATTCCGCTGGTGCTTCTGCGGATGACCGATTGTATATGCTAGGAATCTTGATATCGTTGACAGTTCGGGCGGTCCAGGATGTCCCCCCTTGACTGGACGATGCCATCGTTTCTTCTTCCTCGGAGGGCCCCATGGTAGCTGCCAATGCCGATGAACCAGCAACAGCTGGACCCGACCTACACTTGCGCCTCTTAATGGCGCCAGGACAAGACGCCAGATCATTGTCGTTCCTATGTCTTTTGCCTCGTTGTGCCATTCTACTATACCGAATAAGCTACGTGGCACATGCAGGTGTGTTATGTGCACCCTAAAGTAATAAATAGATGTTTTTTTTTCAATGCTTCTGTTCTCATCCACTGAAAACTCTATATAAAATATTACAAATTGATAAACTTACTACATAGTTATCCATATATTTATTATCTGGAAAGTAGTTTTTCTTCAGAACTGTAACAAAGAGAATAAATATATTAAAAATACACTTGTAAGTAGGTCATTTCTAAAGAGATAAGTTGTTTTTCAAAGAAAAATAAATTAAACTAAGATATAATTTGTATTTTAACAGAAAGAAACCAAAAAAAAAAACGTCATAATCAAACAAGGCTATAAACAAGTAACCAAGCTATTATAATGATATAATAACAAAAATATATGCAATTAAACAAATTAAAAAATATAAATATATAAATTTTATAAATGTATAATAATTACTAGAAAAAGAATACGATATGAGTGCTATTCCACTAGCTACAATGAATATAGCCAGAGTTGTCAAAAGTAAATACATAAATGGTTTGTACACTTCATACATGAATATTAAACCAAGTTGATAAAAATAGAGAGAGACAAATAGAAAGAGAGAGAGAGAGAGAGATCACATATATACAAGAAAAAGATTTATACTTCACATTGTATAGGGTATGACTTCTACAGAGAGAGAGAGAGAGAGAGAAAGAGAGAGAGGAGAGGAGAGAGAGAGAGAGAGAGTTGAGGTTAACAATACTGTGGAGATGCAAGAGTATACAAAGTGGAATTTAAATCGCGCGCAGTCAGCACCGCGATGAGCAATCGGTTCGACGGCTGTCGCGACGAGAGACCGTTCGTCAGTCGCAACATAAACACGAAAATGACAGTTGGTGCGCAGCGTAGCGACAACGCACCTTGTGCCTGGCTGTGTGCAAACCGTCCGTTCCTCCGCGGGGAAAGAAAAGAGGTTATAAAAAACGCAGCCTGACGAGCGAATGTCGCCGTGGTCCCGGTGGTTACGGGGCCAAGGATCGACGTTTGACGCGGCGTAATCGCGAAACCGGCGCGATATTGCGCGGCGACGCGACATTAAGGGACATAATATAACGCGACAGTTCTCGCTGCTGTTGGCGAGCAATCATGTAAACATTGATGCAGGAAGAGAGAACGGGGCGCCCGTGATCACGCTCACTGCGGATCCGCTATTCTACAACAGCTAGTTAAGACACTCATCACACTCACTGCACGTGTCGTTGGTTGTGGGGGCCGCAGGCGGCGTTAAATCTCATTGTATACAACGGGGAGATCGCACGGCACAGCACAGTGATGCAATTGCGTACGATTCACGAGAATGCTCACGGCTCCATTACGCTGCTGCTGGTGCTCCTGCTGCTGCCCGACAACATTGACAATATAGATGGCAGCAGCATCGCGCACACTCCGCCACAAGTCTTCCCGCACACACACACACACTCGGGAAGACCATTAAATACCTTATTATTGATCTATTAGCCGAATGTATTTCCGCGCGCGAGGCGGCACGTGATCGCGTGCGGGCGTGAAACCGGCCGCCGGCGGTCGCGTTTCCAAGCCGCCGCGAACACGCCGACGGTCTATTGCCTGCAAGTGCGTAACGGCCTCGTCCTATCTCTCTTTCTCCCTCTTTCTCTCTCTCTCTCTTTCTGTCACAGCAGCCTAACCAACATGTCCTCATTAGCGATTCCAGGCGGGCGGCACAGGCCACTCCGTTACTCACTCCGCCGGCAGTCCGCGCGCCAACTCGCGTCGGAGCTACTTTTGACGGCCGGCCGCGGTACGGCAAACGCTCGTGCTTGATCGCGGTACGCACCAAATCAATAATATATTTACATAAAAGTGAATACTGCCGTTTGGCGCCATCATGCCTGAAAAAATAACTGTGGAAGTACGGTGTCACGTGACCGATCTAACGAGATCTCGCGATGCGCCCGCGCATTAATCATGCGAAACGTGAGATTCGGAAACAGATCGTACCGCCTGTCATCCGAGAGCAAGCGCGCTCTCTGTGATAATAACTCTTGCAGCTCTCCCGATTTTTCAGTTCGGTTCGGTGTGATGTTGGCTAGAGGGCTCTAGATACTCATACGCCATTCTCCCGATTTTTGCGTGCTGCCACACACGCAGGCATCTAAAATAGTGCGCGCGTGTGGGATGGGAAGTGAGTCAATTTTCAAGAACGGTCGATTGGCTGATCAACGTGATTGGTCAATTCCGTGAGACTTGCTACCCGCGGCTGCGTGTAGATAGGACTTAGGGTGCGAGGTCTCATGCACTGTTATTTTTCGCGTAAAGCCTGTTCTACATTGATCGCAAGCGCAAACGCAAGGAACAGGTCTGATAGAATTGATTAATCGTATTGATCAAATCAGCCAATTGACCAGCGTGATTGGTCAATTCTACGAGATCTATACCTTGCGTTTGCGCTTGCGATCAATGTAGAACGGGCTTTACGCGAAAAATAACAGTGCATGGGATCGTACCCTTAGGGTGAAATTACATGATACGGAAAAGAGCTGCGGAACGGAGAATTCGTCATTGAGACAGCCAATCACAGCTATTCCGTACGATTGTATTCCGTAAGCTTTTTTCTTTGATTGGCTGTCTCAATGACGAATTCTCCGTTCCGCAGCTCTTTTCCGTATCATGTGATTTCAACCCTTATAGACGGGGCGCATTACGCGCGGCAGAAGAAGAAGCGACGCAATAATCAATCAATATGCTGCTTTTCTTTAAGAGCAAAATGTTGATTGGCTATCGCGTTGTTTCTTGTCACGCGTAACGCATTGGGTGCATCCAGAAGCACAACCGCTCAGTGAGCGCTTAGTGAGCGCTTTTTGATTTACTGAATATATGCTCAGTTTGTTTTACGTCATTTGTATCACGTGACATAAACTGCGTTTTGATATTCACTCCCAGTGCTAGAAATCTATAGCACGTTTGACGTGAAATATAGAACAGGAATCAAATAAGGCCGATACGAGCCATTCGCAGGATGTTTGTGCGGAAACTATGCGTGTACATATATATACAGGGTGTCCCAGAATTGGTTTAACATCTCTCGTAGGCAGGTGGAAGGAATAAAACTGAGGTGAAAAGTTCTATACCATTTTGCTAGATTCGCAATAGTTACCGACATTTTAAGTAACAAAGATCCGCGAATAAGCGTGCATCCGGCTGTCTTACGCGCGTAGGACAGCCCGGCGCACTTCACACAATTACATTTTATATTTTAATATGTATATGTTATAGTATATGCTGTTATATTAGCTCCTCCCATATGTCGCTATGGGTAACACCGTTAGCGCGCGAAGCGCGGCGGGCAGTCTTACGCGCGTAAGACAGCCCGATGCATGCTTATTCGCGGATCTTTGTTAGTTAAAATCTCAGTAACTATTGCGAATCTAGCAAAATGGTATAGGACTTTTCACCTCAGTTTTATTCCTTCCACCTGCCTACGAGAGATGTTAAACCAATTCTGGGACACCCTGTATATATATATAAAATGTAACGAATTCCACTTGTAAATTTTTACAAGTATTTTTTTGAATTGAAATCTCAATTCTTAAAAAATTCTTTTTTTTTTTTTTTTTGTGAAATATAGATTTTTAGTACTGACAGTAAATATCGGAATGCAGCTATAGAAATATAAGAAGAAAGTAAAGTTAAAAGTTGTGTTACTAAATAATAGTAATATATATAATTTGTAATAATGCAAAGACGTATTGGTATGATAATTTTAGAAAATAAAAGTGAAAAAATGATAATATTATGCAAATTATCCTTCATTGTGAAAATTTATGCGAAGAAGAAAATATTTTATTAAATTATAAATCTGTGCATTATCGTAATGAAAATTATTTTGAAGTAACAATTCCACAATAGTCTTTGTGCGATTTTCATGTAAATTTCCGAATGAGACGCACTACAATAGAGGTAAGTATAACAAAATATTACAATACAAAAAATAATCTTTTTTTTATTTATAATAATTATAAACAATCAATATTAAATTGAGGATCTCCTCAGGCTTATGAAGTTTATTAAACTTAATAAATGAATAAATAATTAGTCTTAAAGCGCCGTTCGCAGGATGTTGTGCGGAAAATATGTCTTATCAGAGAGAAGCCTGAGAGCGGCCATGCCATTGTAGTTTCTTACAACAGTTTCAACCGCTGGTTTTAGCCGTATTTCCACAAAAGTGAAACTCAAAGGCCGTTCTCCACGAAACTCAAGTCGCAGGTCTCGTGGAACTGAACAATCACGTTGGTCGATTGGCTGATTTGACTCTGCAATTGGTCAATTCCACGAGATCTGCTACTTGCGTTTAATGTAGAACGGCCTTTGAGTTCCACTTTTGTGGAAATACGGCTAAAACCAGCGGCTGAAACCGTCGTAAGAAATTACAATGGCATGGCCGCTCTCAGGCTTCTCTCTGTGTCTTATATGTGTGTACACATACAGGGTCCGCCACTTAAATCCGGACAAATTTGAATTTGACATTCCCATCATATTAGAATGCAGCAGTAGGTGCCATATGAC